TTGGAAGTATTTTATTGCAATATACTATGCTAGTGAGTACCAGTTTTTCAGGCAGGATTTCTCTCCTGCAGCTTAATCCACAAACATAGCTGCGTGACTGCTCTTACACCAGTAAGGCATTGCAGCACAGAGCAAACAAGTGTGCTTGATCTGCTATAGACTGACACTAGGCAGCACCAGACACGCACACGCAGCATGCTACAACAGCTGCAGGAGACAAGGAAGTCCAGCACATAAAAAGGAGTGAAGCAGGAGTATCACACTGCCAGGCCCTGTGGGCTGCTGAGGGCAAGCCAGCACTTGGCAATGCTGCACCACCTTCAACATGCTCTAGTTGCACATAAAAAGGAGCAGGGTATCTGCACAAGCTCCAAAAGGCACTGATGCCCGATAACTGTGTTGGTGTGACACAGAGCATGGTGGGCTAAGTAGCCTCCCTGCCTAGTTGTGCCAAAGGCACCCTGGCTCTGGTCTCAGAGCAGTTAGAGTCCTCCTGTATCGCTCCACATAAGGAAAGGCATCTGCTCCACTTCTGCTTCTTAAGTGCTAAAATCTACTTATTTTTAAAACTTCTATATTCCCACAGCTGAGGTGCGAATCTCACTCCCATGCACCCCAGATCAGTTCTGTCCTTCCACCTTTCTTACACACCACCAATCACCCCCAAGGCGAGGCCCCCAAGCCTGCCACAGAAGGGATTAAACAAGTCAGAGTATACCCTGTACAAACACCCAGTGCCTTACCATTCTTCTTCAGGAAGTGCAGTGCATCCCGATAGCCCTGCTTGCACATGTCCCGCAGCACCTGTGGAAAGAGGCAGGCAAGCACAAGTCATTTGGAGAGGGTCTGGCTGAGCAGATCAAACATCCAATTCAAGGCTGGCTATAGAGGAATTCTCCTCAATCCTGAGCTACACCAAGCACAAGGCTCACCCTTGCCAGTCCTTCCCAGGCTTTGAGCAGGATTTTTCAAATGCCTCTGATAAGGGCATCACAGGATAATTCAGGTTGGAATGTACAGGTTCTATGTATGGACGGGCTTAGATTTGGGGCCACATCATTTGCCCATGTAGAGCTGAGGTTACTGTGGGCAGCCTTTAGCAAGCCACCTGGATAAGCAGCCAGCAGAGAAAACTTCCCAGCAGATGCCAGGGAGGGCCACAGTGCATCTGCAGATAAAGCTGGCTAAGACCCGGGAGGGGGCAGGGAAAAACTTGTCCAAGTGATTCAAGCACATGGACGCTTGTTTATTATGCTCAAATGCCAGGGCTTTCTAATGCTGAATTTGCCTTTCTCAGAAGGCGAAACGCGCAAAGCTGTTTAGAGTGCCGCCTGATCTACTGGCACTTTTTAGGAGACTGCTACTGGCTTCAGGCTGGCAGCTACCACCTGACCTTAAGAAACTTGAGAACACATTGGTTCTGAGAGCTTATGCATCCTTGTTTAGAAGTAGGGCTGGCTTCCTGGCAAATGCCAATTTACAGAGAGCCACGTGGGAATATTTTCCAAGCAACTGCTAGCACCTAAATTCCAGACCTTCCAGTAGTAAAAGAAAACCAAGCCCTCTATACAACTTTGTGCAGATGGTCAAGGTTTGCCAAGTCACAGGGTTGCTAATGTCAAGGTGAAAAAAAAAACCCAGACAAACCAGAGATACAAAAACAGTATAGTGTCTAGAATCCTCTTCTGTTGAACTGCACTGTACAGCCAGCATTTTTGTACTGTCCCTAAACCTTGACACTGCCAGGGATTCTCACCTGTGGCTCTGGAGGGAACAAGGCCTTGGAAAGGCGATAGAGATTGCGAAGGTTAAACTGGATGCTTGTATTGGTGAATCTGAGCTCATGCATGTTTGTGGAACTGTCCCGTGGACAGATATCGCTCTCTCCCGAGAACGGGGACACCGTGATTGTGTTCTTCAGCTCATAGCGTGGCAAGTTGTCAGAAATCCCTCCGTCCACATACCTCTGAAATAAAGACAAATGAAGCACCTTCATTCATGTAACTGATTAAGCGACTTTTCTTTTCTCAGTGTGCCTGTTCAATAACTTAGGGAGAGAAGGGAGAACATCCACCAGCACTGGAGGAATTAAAAGCAGTGATACCACAGCTGTGCTGTCTGTGACCTCTTTTTGTTACGTGCTTTTCTCCTTAGAATTGTGTTTTTTGGTCACCAGTGGTCTCAGTGAGAAAGGCATAATTCACTGTCCAATTAAATAATGACCCCCCAACAACCACTCACAGTGCAAATTAGCACTGGTCTAAGCTGTCACACCGTGACATTGATCCACTCAAATAAGCCATTCTTGACTTGTTTTTAAAATTAAAGAGCTCAGACACAGGTCCCACCAGAGAACAGTTTGTTAATGAAGAACAAAAGCAGCTGATTTGGTGCTAGCAGGCTTATCAAGCAGCAGTCCCAACACGTGCATACACATTTGGAATCCACTAGCTTTTGGCACGATAACAGAGTACAAGGGACTTGGGTTTTGCCCCAGCAGGCACCCACTTATCAGAGAATGTTCTGTACACATGCCCCATAAATACATTTGTGTTATTCTTGCAGGAAGAACCACCCTGCTAGCATATACTTGATTTAAAGAATTCTTTAGAGTATCATAATTGCACAGGGAGCTAAGCAAGACAATCCCTATCATGGGCCTTTGGCAGAGCAAGCAACATGCAGAAGATAAAAAGAAAGGGGTCACAGGTCAGGTTGAAAAGCAGCAAGTTTGAGACCCTTGCAGACCAACTACTCTGGCTCCTGTGAATTCCTGCCACAGGAGAGTCCTACCAATTTTATAGTAGGGTTAATCCTGCCCTTTTCTGCTTGAAACCCTTCCCTTTGGATGGTCCAAAAGGGAATGAACTTACACAGTCCCATCAGTAGGAGCCCTAACAAGATCAAAGACGAACCCATCTTCCAGCTCACTCTGGTGGATGAGGAGCTGAGCAGGCACAAGGCAAAGCTGGTGGAGGCTGAACCCAAGCTAAGCAGGGAAATGCTGATGGCAAGCTTCATTCTGCCCTGTGCTTTGCTTTTTCTCATAGACAGACCGATAACCGGCATCGGTCTTTTGCTGCACGATGCCTAGAAAAATGCTGTTTGTTTTGGTCAGAGGTTGCTTTGCCCTTTGTTCTCTCTTGCTCTGGATGGCAGACGGGCAGAGACCTCTTTGATCAGCTCCTGTGAGCCCAGGGAAGAGCTCATAGGCTCTTGGGCTCAGAGCAATTATATTCAGCTATAGGGATCCACCTCCCATCCAGGGAACAGGATCAGGGTGGGCTACATAGCAAATTTCTTAGGGGCAACATAAACCTCTGGGCTTCTTCTGCATACAGCCTACAGGCTCATACTGTGGACTGGTGTCATTCCATTCAGCAAGCACTAGGAGTGCCAGGCAGGGAGATGGTTTGTAATTATAGTCGTAGGCTACAGACTGCCCTAACTCACAGCACAAGACATCTCATCGTCATGCCAGGCCTTGTTCAGACATGGTATCAAGGCAGCAACTTCTGCACCACCCAGATTTGGGCAGCGAAGAAAGTGGAAGGGAGGGATAGATTAACTCAGGGTAAAATACATCCAGTTAGAAACAGCAGCACACAGCTTTCTTACAGGATGCTTTCTAGACAGCAGGGATCAGGTGCCAAAAGTCAGTTGAGCTCTCATCCCCTTTTAAAGGGGGCATCAATTTTCCCCAAGCACAGAGTAACCACAAAGAGGGATCCCCTGCCGCCACAAAACATGCTCCACTGAAAGCCAGACCATGCATAGCCCTGGCTGGAGAAGTCTGGCTGACTCCCAGTGGAGAGAAGAGACCAGGATAGGTGGAGTGGGAAGAGGACAGCGCAAAGCAAGCAGCACAGTGCCAGACAATCACTTTGGTTAGAGAAGATGGAGGTAAATGGTTTTGCCATTTATCTAAGACAATGCATGTTTTCTGCTCAGGATGCAGAAGCATAAGTTTCCCTGAGGGTGGCAGCATGAGTGAATAGATGTCCTTTAGAAAGAAGGGTTCACACACATGCACCACCCTCATCCTCCCCTTCATGGGGCTACCAGAATTCAGAGACGTGAACACTGGAAAAAGATTAGGAGGAAGGCAGGATTTGGGTACCAATTTTACCTTGCACACCAACCTTCAGATGCCTTGAAAACCGTTTCTCGTGCTTTGAGTTAGCCTGTCAGTCTGTCCTGTGGTAAATACAGTAATTGCAGGACTGCTAGGAGCTATGCAGTCCAGTTTCAAAGCCTTTTCCTAGTCTCATACCCAACCTAGTTCAGCATCTCCCAACACCAGGCCCTCCTTCAAAGGAGGAAGGAGCCATTATTTTCTGGGGGAGAGAGAATTAATTTTCCTATCACATTCATCACATTCATTTTTTCCTCTTTTCCCACAGAGAGTGTTGACGTGAAGGTCATCCCTTGGTGTTCTCGGGCAGCTGAAAATTCCTGAAACCTTGAGGATGTATGCAGTTGGGAAGAAGGGATTTTGCCTGAACCAGGCTGACCTCAACTGGCACTCAAGAGGTCTCACGCAAGAGCCACCACTACGCTCCCACCAGCTGTGGGACAGAAACCCAACCTGCAGCTGTTGAGCAAGCCCCTAAACAATACTATGTTGTCACTTCTCTGAAAACATTTCCTCTAGTCATGTTTGCTCTAGATCACTTCCCTGTCCAAAAGGCTTGCATAAGACAAAAACATACAAGCTATAGAGTAGGCAGGAGCAAAATTGACCTCACTTTTAGGACATGGGTAGCAGCGGGAACAGATTTGATGCCCTGCTCTGGCAGACTGTGGCATCTTGGCCAGGTCACTTAGGGGAAACCAAGGCATATATAGGTTAACAGATCCCTTTTGATCAGATAGTTTCCATATGCACAGAGGTTTGGAGCCTCAGGGCTAGAGAGGGTTGTACTGAAGAGCTAGGAGAGCCATCTGCTAAAACGGCCGTCACTTGCCCAAATTGGTATTCACTCCTGACAGGAGAGTATAGAAGAAAACAGCACACCAGTTGCTGCACACAAGACGCAGAGGACAAAACAAGCCAAGAGAGAACTGCCCATGGCGTAGATGGTACAAATACACCACAGTGGGATAGGAAAAGAAATTTATTTGGCACTCTCCATGGGCAGCAGCAGAACCATGAGGCACAAATATGGAAGAGATCAACACGTGCTTAAGGAGGCAACCCAAAGGTATGGAAAAAGCACTGGCCACCCAGAACAACAGCGCTTGTGTAGGAGACAGCGGTGTAATAATGTTGAAAACAAATGGTAGCGACAAGGTAATGGTAGCGACAAGGTAATGCCAATATAGGTACTGAGAGCAAAAAGCAAAGACCTAGGAAAAGGAGAGGGAGGCTTAAAGAAAACCCTAGCACATAATTAGCTTGAAACCCTAATACATAATTAGCTTGGGAAGCTCCATGCCCTGGGACACCACAGGCTCAGGAATTTAGCAGCGTTCATTAGAGAGCTGTATGAGCACTGCAGGACCCACCCCCCTTCCCCGTGTAGCTGATTAGGGAGTTACCCTTCCTCATCATCACCAACACTCATAATCCTGCACCACCACCTTCCTGCAGCAGTCTGTGGGTCTGCAGTAAGTCCTTAAGCACTATTTGCCAAGGAAAAGTTCCTGCCCCCAGCCTTCACTCCTCTAAACATTTTCCAAAGACAAACAACTATTCTGTTAAATCCTCAGGTCTTCAGGAAATTTTCAGCCAGCTGCAGGCAGCACTGAAAAGAAGGTATATCCAACGAAGAATGCCAAGCCTCATGTTTCAGAGAGCCAAGTCTTGTCAGTTAACAGTGGGGACGCTGCTCTGTTGCAGCTGTTTATCTGGGGATTTCTTGTGCCTCTTCAGGCTAATTGCTGCCAGCAGGCTGGCAATAGGACTGTCAAAACTGAGCACCAGCATTTCTGCCTTCTCATTTATCAGCACATAATTTAATGAAGAAACATCTTAGAGTCTTACTTACCACTCCACGCAAGGTAGGAGGTATCAGCCCACAATAGACAGGGATAAAAGAGCTGCAGACACAAGCCTGAGGGAGAAAGAGATCCAGCATGTAAAACCCTTTGAGTAAGAGCCAAATCAAAGCCTGCTGAGCCTCCTACTCTTCCCAGAGTACCACACTGGCACGCGCTGACAATTATACTCTGTTACTAAGGTCATTTGGAGACCAAGACGAAACAAAACAGCTTGTGGCTCCTCCTCAGCCCTCTTCTGTATATTCCCATTCACCTGAATCAGCTCCTCCTTGGACTTGAAGTCTGAAAGTATCACATTTTCTCCATCAGAGACCCGTGTGAGGGAGATGCCCAAACGTCCTGCTGCTACCTCATGCCCATTCTCCGGCACAGTCTTGGATAGGCAGATCCGAATGATCTTCACCAAGTTGAAAGATGGGTGGAGTGGGCCCAAGAATCTCTTCCGTGCTTCTTTTGACACTCGAATGATACTGGCACCAGCCTCACCTGCAACAAGAGAAAGAAACGCACCATGAAATGCTAGTCAAAACAGCCTTCTTCACAAAATCAGGGACAGAAAAGCCTTGTCCAGCTTTACTCAGAGGTTTCTACCACCTGCTGATATAACTCAAGATGAAAGGCTATAATAGACAGTGTCAGAGAAGTCATGGAAATTTGCTGTTGGCCCTCATACTTGCTCACTGTGATAGGCTTGCCTCATCTTACATATTATATAAAGTCCAGGAAGATCAGAGGCATCTTTTTCAGCAGATCCTGCCTCACTGATCAATGCAGGACTGGTAGAAAGAAACTAACACAGAAAACAAGGGCACTGCTTTAACAGCTTTGAGCTTGTGGCTAAACCCACTCCAAAAATACCTTCCACTAGAACTTCTCTAGCAAGCATCTTTTTTTCTGACTTGAAACAGTCACCCGCCAGTAGGCAGAGACACTGATGCTTTCCAGCTAATCAAGTGGCAACAGCTCTCTTGCTAATCTCAGCCACATCTCAGGTGAGCAGAATGGAAGTAGAGTTTTCCTATGTTTTTTGCAGAGTTGCTGCGTTCTCTCAGCACTGCTTGAACATCCTTCCCAGCCCAAATCCACAGCCCTATAGACCCATTTAAGCAGAGGGAAGGGAGAAAGGCATTTTGAGGCAGTTGAGTCAAGATCATCATCTTGACTAGGATTCAGTTTGCTACGCTGTGTTAGGGAAGGAGTGACTTAGAGACACCTGAAGAGACTTTGGTGCCACATTGCCTCCACTGTGTCCATCTCCACAGCATTAGAACAGGCCCTGACGGCAAGCAGGATTCACAGAGGCGTGCGTGCTTTACACTTTCACATAGTGACCCAGCTGGGGCTGGAGAGAGAAGACACATCCTGACCGTGCAAAAGGAAAGGCATCTAAGCCCATTATCTCATGGTCACTAGGAACCCAATCTGGCAAGAACATCAGGGCTCCGCAGCGGGGAAGGGAGGGAGGGAGGAAAACAGAGCAAAAACAAAAACATCAATCCAAGCCAAATCCTCAACACCCAGCATGCTGCCCTTTGCACACACTGACCGCTGCCTCCACACTTGTCTCCTGGCCAGGGTGAGATGCAAGACTAAATCCCCTGGGTACCAGGCAATCGGTGTACTCCCAGGGACATAGGGAAAATACATACAAGAGCAGTAAGATGATCGGGGAAAGCAGCCATGCTCTCACAAATGAGGACTTCTCTCCAATCAAACTGAAGTTCAGTTCTTGGACAAAGATGAAATACCCTATCCATTCAAGTCAACTTGAAATCTCCCCACTTTGCTCTCCTCCCCACCCAGTCTTGTAACTGCAGAAAGGAGGCAGCAGAATGGAAGTCAAGTTAGACCTAGGTTAATAAATAGAGATAAGAGCAACACCCTCAGCGCTATTTTGACCTAGCCCATTCTTTTGCAAGACGTGCTTAGCAGCATGTTTTCCATTAGCACAGCGTGGGAACGCAATTCTGTGTAAGGAAAGCCACCGCTACCAGTAGCTCCAGCAAGCACAGAACCAGACCCTGGAACATGTATTCTGGGGTCAGGATTTTAGGCACTGTGAGGTAGTAACTCAGCAGAAGATCCAGGTTCCCCTTTCTGAAGGGATTTTCAGCACTATAATCTCAGTCTTCTGCTCTGTCCTGGAGCCTAATTCTGATCTTCCTTACTCAATCAACAGTAAGCCATTCAGCCCTAGTAGCTACATGGTTCAACATCCTTCCTAACATGAAGGAAGTCAGCCTCACACCAAAATGGCATTTTATAACACCGAAGCACCTCATAGTGCTCCCTAAGACACCCTCACATCTGACAAGGGCTGAAAGGCACACAAAGAATCTGCAACAGAGTCAAAAACTGAATGAACCCCACTCCAGCACGTCAGCCACACAACCCTAGGAAATTCTGCTGCACTGATTGCACTGCAGGGACTTGCTGGTTTAGCTGAAAAACCCAACAGGCAGGTGAGTGTTGAGCATGCAACTGTGCAGAGATGCCCACTGTGTGCAAAGCCCTGCTGGGGAGTGACCCCACAGATGGTGCTTAGAGAAAGATGCTTTCAGACTTCATATATTAGCGTGCAGAAAGAAATATTTAATAGTAATACTGAAAACAACTGTAATAAAGTTGAGCTTTTGACTAACGTTTGAGCTAAAATCTGAGTTGGAAATTGCTTAAGGAAACAAAACAGCAAAGTCCCAAATATGCCAAGAAACACACTGTCCCAACTTTTGAGGATGGGCATTGCCGCGCTGCCTGCTCTGTCACCATTACACAGCTGAGGGGCAGGGGGAGCAGGGGAGAAAAAGGGGACAAAAGAATTACTGCTATATAGCAATGTCCTTCTTTCAATCATTTTTATATCATACATGTGTGTATACAAATACACTGATTATGCATAAGCAGTTCTGGGTTATTCTACTTGAAGGGCAGCTGTAATCCTGCTG